AACAGATCTCTACATCTCGTGCCAAAACTGGATGGCTGGTATGAGATAAGTGTGGGCAGAGTAATCACTTCCAAAGAGCACGCATGAGAGAGGGAAGTGGATTGGGTAGAGCCAGCAGTAGTCCGCACTGGTGTGCATTGGCGCTGGAGCACTAGGTGTAAAACTTGGGGTTGGAGACTCACTAAGGCCAGTAGCAACTCACTAGGGCCAGAGAGATACTGGAGCACAAAGAGAGAAAGAGGCTTGAAAGAAGCCTAACAAAGATTCAGTTGTTTTCACAGTGGGAAAAACAGTTTCAAGAACCATAGATGTTGATAGATGTATATAAAAATGTTTGTTTATTTTTTGTTTTTGTATTTGTGCTACATTCTAAGACCACCATAAAGGACTTAGCCTGGAGTACTGTTTTAAAGTCAAGTTCCATATGGGACAAGGAGGCTAGGACAAAGGTACAGCAGATAAGAGTTTAAACCCTTTAGTTTTGTTCAATTAGATAAGAAAGGAAAAAGTTATTTTAAATTGCAAGCTGTTGGTTCCAAGCAGCACAGTACGACCAGGGAGAGGGGCACAAACTGGCCTCTGGGGGGCCCTCGAGCTCCAGTCTTAGGCAGATGCAGCGGGTCCCCAGCTGCCTGCCCATCTGTTTGCTGAATCAGCCACAGAGGTTGGGTATGTACCACCAGGTGCTAAGTAGGAGGGTCATGACTGGGGTTCACTGCGGCCTTGGTGCTGGCCACGTGCCCTGCTGACACCACAAGTGTGTGAGGCTCAAGATAGCATCTGTGGTTAACATCTGGGCATAACGGAAACATCCAACGGCTTTTACGGAGCCACAAGCCACATTCCCGACCAAGGCCATTTCACTGAGTCACAGATCGAAAAGAAGTTGTAGGTCTTCATGAATCGTACCTTTTAAAACTTTGAAATAATTAAAACAAGCTGCTTCTCCTTATGGCTCCAATGCTCCCTTCACCTTGAGTTTGCTAGAAATGTGAGGATGATAGACTATGGCCCCAAATGAGTGAAAAGAAACAGCTAAAATAAGTTTGAATCCAGGAGACTATTTATTGTAGACAGAAAATTTATTTAAATATAGCAGGAAACAGGCAGAAAATGTGTTTTACAATTTAACCATTACAATGAACCTTGTGCTGCTGAATTCTCAAATTCTACCAATTTTTTTTTTACTGTGTTTCAAAAAATTGTAGAAAGAGTTAATAAAAAAAAAGATTCGCTAATTGGAAAGGATACTTTTGCTAGCACAAACAATCAGCTGAACTTTACATTGCAACTATGCAGTAAACTGAGAGATCTAATTTTAAGGCCTGCGAGGAACTCCTTTGT